ACACATTTTACCAGTCTGGAAAACTTCCTTCTGTGGAAAGAACATTCTTTTTTTTTTTTCTGGTTCCCTTGGTGATGGTATTTACCTGCCCACATTCAGATTTTGTGTTTTACTTCTACTGGTTAAACTCATGAGGACAGGAGAAAGAGTTTATTTTTCAAGTGAGTGACAGTTATTAGTTGCACTTAAAAAAAAAAAAAACTTGTAGGAAATGAATGTTTGGCCTAGATTACACGGTTTCCTTAGAACTCCAGAGGAATTTTCACGCCCACCCACCGGAGGGACCAACCGTCAGCAGATCCCTGCCCTGATGGAGTTTGTGTTCCACAGTTCACGCGCTTGTTCCCAGAGGCCACGGGGAGGCTAATACAACCGAGAATGAGATAATCCCAGTTTTTATACAGAAACTACCAGTAGTGCAGTGAACGTGACTAAAGCTAAAACTTTGAAGACATCCTTAAGTTCTTAGAGTGCATTCATTTCCATTGCATTCTTTCCCATGAAATGAGCTGGCTCACATTCTTGCCAAGATTGGACTTTTTTTTTTTTTTTTTTTTAAATCTCTGCCAGTTTCACTAATGTTTGTGTGAAAAAATACCGGTTTATTTTAACGTAGGTGAATTTGAGATTTTCAGATTTTATTAGTCATGTGTGTTTTTCTTAATGAATTTTCTGCACATGTTCTTTGTGTGCAGCCCACCTCTCTTTTTAATTGGCAGGCTTTTATTATTTTTATTGACATTTAGGCGCTTTTGATTTATTGACGGTATTAACCCTGGGTCTGGCATATATAGTGCAAGTATTGATTCCAGTTTGTTTTGTCTGCCTTTTATTGTTCTCATGGTGGAACAGTTTTGTTTTCATGAGGAAAACAAATTTGACCAAACAGTGGTCATTATTACGTGTCAGTTTAAGGAAATGTGGAAACAAAACATTAGTAAAAATGATGCATTAAATCCACACATTGTTTTTTTCTACACTGGATGTGAACTTAAAAAACAACAACAAACCAAAACACTCTTAACACACATACTTTAGTACAACCAAGCTTTAATTTTCTGCATTGAGAAACAGTGTTAACTTAACTGCATTATTAAGAAGACTGAGTGCCTGTCCTCTGTCAGACATGAAATACTTCCACCTTATTTCCTCATCTGCAAAACAGGAATAATTCTTACTTTGTAAGAGTGTTTCATACTCAGTGTCTGGCTGTTAGTAGGTGCTCGATAAATGGTAGCTGTTTTTATGATCATAATGACGTAAATAAATATGGTGTGGTCTTTGCACTCAGTCAACTGGGAGCGCCAACGAATATGTAACTGATAAGAACAGACTCTTCTCTCTGTTGTTTCTGATAAATCAGCTGTCAGTTGTATTGCTGTTCCTTTGTATGTAAAGTGTCAGTTCCGGGGGTGCTTCTAAGACTTTCTCTTGTTGGTTTTTAGCATTTGACTGTGATGTGCCTTGGCATAGGTCTCTTTGTTTTGATCCTTCTTGGGGTTTGCTAAGATTCCTAGGTATTCAAAGTAATATGGGTTTTGTTTTGTTTTTTTAACTTGGACACATTTCAGCCTTTATTTCTTGAAGTATTTTTTTCTTCCCTTTATGTTGTCTTATTCCAGATCTCCAATTACACATGTGTTTCATTGCTTGATTTTGTCCTACTGAACACTCAGGCTCTATTTCTTCTCTTTTTTAAATTTTACTGTTTGTTCTTCAGGTTGTAACCTATAGAAGAAAGGGTTAATGAATTGGAACAGATCAATGGAAATTTTCTGCTATTGAAGCTATCTAGTGAATTTTGCATATTGTATCTTTTGGCTCTAGAATTTACATTTGGTTCTTTTTGATTGTGTCCATCTCTTTCCTGAAATTACTCATGTATTCATTTGTTATTACTGTATTTTCCTTTAACTCCTTGGACATATTTATAATACTGCAGGTCCTCGGATAATTTTGTTTCATTCAGTGCCATTTCTTTATAACGTAGGAACTTAACTGTTCTTTATGTCAATGCTAAAATTGTTTTCATTATACGGTGTTTTTCTTAAAGTCACTGAACCTGTGGATGACACAGTGAGGACCTATTGTAGTTGTTTTGTACGTCTCACCTAATTCCTGCGTCATCTCAGGGTCTGTTTCTATGGCCGGCCATTTTCCCTCTTGATTATGGATCACATTTTCTTTGCATGTCTAATAATTGTTTTACTGTGTTGGGTGTTATGAGGGTTCCATTATAGAGAGTCTGTATAGTTCTGAAAGACAGTTGCTGGCAGAATTGGGTCTGTTAGGTTCGTTCTTTTTTCCTGGCTTCTTACCTATCTACTTTATCTACTGGTTATCTGCCTGCCTAGCTATCTACTCTATCTACTCCTATATATCTGCCTGCCTAGCTATCTATATATCTACTCTAGCCTAGCTCTCTCTGTATCTGCCTAGCTGTCTACATATCTATGTAGATGTCTAGGTATCTATATACTTAGCTGTCTATATATCTACTCTATCTGGGGTAGACATTTCCATTTTGAATTTAGTTGAAGTGCACGGCTCTTGCTCTGGAGTGTGATCTTCGGCACTGAGACGTGGCCTCCGTGGCGTTGGAGCGGACAGTCCGAGGTGCTCCTTTGTTCCCTTTGTTCTGGTTGGGCAGAGCTCCAGTGTCTTCTGGCACCGCATGACCGGCTGACCTCCGGAGTCACCCCCCAGCACGTAGCCCCCGCTCTGTGGCCCTAGGCAGTCTTGCTGTGGCCGTGGGCAATGACGCCCTGGAGAGGAGCTTTGGGACATCCCCACCGAACCTGTTGGGGCCTCCCTTCTGCCACTGTGGTCCACAGAGTCCAGGCCGTCCTGCTACTTGGAACAGCCACCGCCTTCTCTTGGGCTCCGTGGAACAGCCCGTCTGCTTTAGCAGAAAATGCCCCTGGGGCAGAAAGCTGGGCCAGCCCGGGCTCCATGCCCGTGTCTCCCTTCCCCACAGGTGCGCAGTCCTGCACTGCCCTGGCTCCGTGCCAGGAAGGAGCTGCCTCCCCGTGTGTTTTGTTCGGTTTCACAGGCTCACAGGGAGCACGAGTCCGGCACCTGTTACTCTTCCATGGTGGGAAGCAGAAGTGTGGACGCTGTGTGCGTGTAAGCTCTGCCTTCCTCAATAAGATTAATGATACACCACGATATTTTTTTTAATCCCATTTGAAATGTGACTGATTTTCTTTGGACAGAACTGGAATTTCTCGGTGGGCGGCAGTGTGATTATTAACTTATGCCAACGTCTGCTCCAGAATGAGCCCCTTTGTCCATCACTGTACCTGGTCACAGACACAGCTGAGTGACAAGGAGCTCTGGCGGCGCCCCCAGGGAAACTTTGTCTTTTGCACAAACTGTCACCTTCAGCGTATTACCCTGTAGTTCTATTGTCAGCAGCAGTGATAGTCAGTGACAGTTCTAGTTGGATATAGTGGCTTGAGATATTTTTGACAACGATCAATTTAGAATAAAAGTTTGATGTGCCATTCTGTCTTTGTTTAATTGTTAAAATTAGGTGTCAACTATCTACTCTTCTAAAATATATAATGTGTTTTCTGCACGAGGGATTAACATGTATTTATATGGAATATTGGCTTTAAAAATATTTTCAGCATAGCGTTTGGTAATTAAGGCATAATAAAATCTATTTCTTTCCTGTAGGGCCTTCCTTCCTTCCTTCCTGTTTTGTGACCGATTCCCTTCTATCTGCGTAGCATTTTTTACTTTTCACAGTGTTCTTATTACGTCTGGCCATTTCTTTCACTCGCATAACCCTAGTGCGCTGTCTTGCTACTTGTTGCATCTTGCCTGGAGTAATTCTGCCTTCTTGTGAGAATCTGTTGGCCTATTTACAGTTTAATCTTCCTCAAGCTGAGTTTCTCACGCTAATGTAAGAAAAAACCAATTTTCGCTCTTCCTTGTTGCCTTCCCAACGCCTGAGCGGGTTCCCAGCCTGCGTCTCAAGCCGGAGGTTGGGCGTTCTTCCCATGTGTCGCTTTTCCCTGGCTTCTCTGCGTGCTCTTCCTTGGACCCACGGTGACCGTCTTGTCTCTCCACATTGTTTCTGCCCTTCAGCGTCCCAGGGCCGCCCCCGAGCCCCGCAGTGCCACCCACCCCGGCGAAGCCTTCCCTGGTCCCCTGTGCCATTGCGCTTCCTGTGCGGTTCACGATGGCATTACAGGTGCTCGTGTATATCTCGTCCCACTGATGTCCTCTACATGGTAGAAAATAAATATTTGTCTTTTTACTCTTGTTTTTAATCCTCATCTGAGGACATGCCCATTGATTTATGTAGAGATGGGGAAGGGAGAGGGAGAGAGTGAGGGAGAATGAATCATCAATATGAGAGAGAAGCATCAATCGGCTGCCTCGTGCCTGCCCCCCGACTGGGGATTGAACCTGCAACCCAGGCATGTGCCCTGGCAGGGAATGGAACCTGCCTCCTTTCAGTCACAGAGCGATGCTCTAACCAGCTGAGCCACACTGGTCTTACTCGTGTAGGAAACCTGCGGTCTAGGTGGAGTGAGGGGTTATTTCCATCCGCAGAACAAGGAAACCAGGACTGGAAGTGTTGAGAGGATGTCACACTCCGAATTAATAACCGATTCCAGGTTGCCAGTCTGAGACTCCTCTACATTTTTCCCTTTAGACAACTCCTTCACTTTCATCTATCTAATCTGGCTCAAGATTACTTTAGTTGGCCTCTAAGTATCAATGTTAAACAAAATACTGGGCATGTCCACATTTATTACAAAATGAAGTGGGGGGTTTTGCCCTACCTGCCGCCACTCCTTTGCTGCCACCACATCTCAGAGTGGACGGCTAAACCGGGTCCCCTGAGCCCTGCCTTCAGGGGGTCATCTTGCCTGTCTCAACATCACGTAAAACCCCATGGACATGCGCTCCGTTGAGCTGTTTCCGTTAAGCGTGGCTTGGTAGCCACGCTGGGATGTCATTCTCTTTGCCTCTCTCACCTCCAGGCACTTCGCCTGAGTAACGTGGCCATGAGCAAGACCACCACAGGCCAGATCGTCAACCTGCTGTCCAATGACGTGAACAAGTTTGATCAGGTGAGCTGCACCGGAGCGGTTCTTTTTCCTTCCCTACCCTTCTTACGTGGCTTAACCTTCTTGGAATGTCAGGTGCCAGCCTTTGGCGCAGGCCGGGATTCTGTTGAGGACAAAAACACTTTTTTTTTTTTTAAAATTGAACTCTCCTTTCTTCTGTGTGCAACTTAATCAGTGTTGCCCTGTCGGTGAGTGTTCTGTTTTCCTGATGCCGCCCGCAGCATAATTCGGTCGTAAACAGGCAGGCTGTAGCGCTCCTGCCCAGCTCGGTCCAGCTGGCCTGGAGTGGCCCTCCTTGGCAGGGGTTGCCGGCTGAGTGGTCTGCCTCCCCCTGCCGATGCTGATCTGCGGGTGGACAGGAACTCGTCTTCTCCCTGTGTCCTGCACAGTGCCTGCTCTGCAGGAACCCTTCGATGAATAATCGCGAATGGGTAGTCCCCAGCGAGAAACTGCCTCCTCTCCTCAGCCTGCACACCCTGCTTTGCCATTTGCCTTGGGAATATATCACATGACCCAGGGTGTTCTCGCTGCTGGTCGGATCTGTCTGTCACTAGGTCCCTTCTCTTTCAGTTATTCATTTATCAACAGTGAACAAAGGTTCCTACTCCGTTTCCAGGATGACTAAGACTTTTGCCCTGGGGGAGCCACAGCCTATCAGGGAGATAATTACACGAGTAATTACTGGAGAGTTAGGTAAATGGCTTTCCTGGGTGCTGGAGCGCCCCGGGGAGGTGGGAGTGATTGTAAGGCAGAGTCTGGGGAAGCCCTGAGGGTAAATGTGGGGAAGACAAAGTTGAGAACTTCCTCCCAGCGTGGATAGTCAGGATCTCCCCAGAAGTGCCTGCAGCCTGCCCTGTGTTGCCCCAGAAGGGGAGCTCACTTTCTGCCTTCGCGGGTTTAAAACCCACTGGGATCATTACTGTTTAGGGTCTCGTCTGTTTCGTCCGATCAGAGCTGATCGTTTTGTACTGTGTCTCTCGCTGGTTTTGCTTTTAAGCAGTCCTAAAAAAGCTTTGACTTTTTCTTCTCAGGTAACGATATTCTTGCACTTTCTGTGGGCAGGCCCACTGCAGGCCATCGCGGTCACGGCCCTGCTGTGGATGGAAATCGGAATCTCCTGTCTTGCCGGAATGGCAGTTCTGATTATTCTTCTGCCTTTGCAAAGCTGCATTGGAAAGTTTTTCTCCTCCTTCCGGTAAGAGCAACGTATATAGGGAATGGGTAATATAGGAATATGTATTTGGTAACTGCCGGATGCTTTTGTTCCAACATGAAACAAACACTTTCTGTGATCTCTTCTTTGCTGTTGTTTTAGAGTCTCCAGGCTGAGTGGGCGGGGCTCCAGCCTGGAGCTGACAGCTAATCTTGGAGCAGGAAAGGCGAAGGGATTTGCAGCCTCCTCCTGGCTAGCTTTTTGGGCACCATACCTCCCTAAGCAGAGTGTACTCAAGCAGAATTTATACGCATCAAAGTCATTTAAAAATTATTGAACAGTAATACATGTAGAGAGCTTTTGGGCCCAATTCTAGCTGCATATGCTTTTATTAGGCTTGTGGAAGAGCCATTTACAGTGCGTGCATTGTTGTTGTTATAATTTGCTGTTCCCATTAGGTTATGAGCTGCCCTCATAGGTGGCAAGGTGGGTCTTAACTATTTATGTCTTCATAGCGTCCCGCAGTCTTGACAGCGGCTGACGGCAGGGAGCCTGACGGCGATGCGTTAGACCCGAGGCAGGTCCCAGGGGGTTGGAAGTGGGTCACGGCCGAGGTTGTCGGGTGGATGGAGGCAGCGCCGAGTTCTTTCCTTTATGCCTCTGTAACTGGTATTTTTCTCTGCTTGAAATATCCTTTCCGCTCGTTACCGTGCAGAGGTGTTGCTGATCCTTCAAAGCCTGTTCCAGGGCTACCAGAATTCTGAAGCTTCTTTGCTCTTTCCTTTCCCAGTGGAATAAACAGCCCTCTCTTTTCTCCTCCCCAGCACTTCATTCCTCGTATATGACAGTGCAGTCAATTCTGTTCTTGTTCAGTTCGGGGGCTTTTTCTTCCTTCGCTACCCACCTCGGCATGACCTTGAGCAGACAGTTTGTATCTGGCTCATTTCACATCTTCCTCAGCAGCTCTTGCAAGTTCTCCAAATTCCCTTTTGAGCAGGGGTGAACTGTTGGGTCCCTAACTGAGGTCTTTGCCTGTGTGTGTTCCGAGGGGGACCTGCCTGTGTCGCCAGCGCTGGCGAGCTGTAGGGGCCTGCTCCCTGCCTCTGCCCGCAGCCTCTGCGGAGGAGGGAGGGGGCGGTCGCCCTGGCTCACCGCTCGCCTCTGTCCCCTTAGGAGCAAGGCCGCCACTTTCACAGATGCCAGGATCAGAACCATGAATGAAGTTATAACCGGCATCAGAATAATAAAAATGTATGCCTGGGAAAAGTCGTTTGCAGAACTTATTACCAACTTGAGGAGGTAAGCTTTTGCTGCGTATATCACATCCTGTGTTCACAGTTTTAAAAAATCAAGTGCCCTCTCCTTCTCGTTCTTCTCTGACCCCCTACTAACTCCGGCTCGGCCCCCCGGGCTCCACGTGCGTGTGACTCAGCCTGACTTCACTTGTCCCTGTTAGATGCCTCTCCTCTGTGTCCCCCGTGGGGTGTGTGCAGGATGCTTCTGTCTAATGTCCTGGTGTCTCACAAGTTTTGGGTTGCTTATTCTCTTCTGTAACGAATTCGTGGGCTCCTGGAGGGGACAGGCAGCATCTTTCCATCCTCAGCGAGGTACGGGCACACGACCTGTGTTTGTGAATGATTGTTCACACCCAGCCCGATAGGCCCAAAATGCTGAAGTGCACCCGTAGCCTTCATTTGGTTGGTGGTTGGATGAGTGAGCGGTTATGGAGTGTGTGGTCCCCGTGGGGAGCTAGCCCCAGGGTTTGAACTGAGGAATGGTTATCTTAAAGCATGTCTGCTTCTTAGAAGGAGGCCATGTGCAAACGCACTTGGATTCATTTCCTGACTTGGACGTTGATGCTTCCCTGAAAACCTACATCCTACTCTTTTTCTAGGAAGGAAATTTCCAAGATTCTGAAGAGTTCCTATCTTAGAGGAATGAATTTGGCATCATTTTTCGTTTCAAGCAAGATCATCATTTTTATGACCTTCAGCATCTACGTGCTCCTTGGCAACGTGATCACAGCCAGCCGTGTGTTCGTGGCGGTGACACTCTACGGGGCTGTGCGGTTGACCGTCACGCTCTTCTTCCCCACAGCCATCGAGAAGGTGTCAGAGGCCATTGTCAGCATCCGAAGAATCCAGGTTCCGTGACAAATGACTTTTTAAAGCTGTAGTTTAAGACAAAAATCATGCCTCCCTTTACTCAGTGGCACTGTGTTCCAGTTAGGTGACCTGCAGGCATTCCAAAGTGTCATGCACCCTTGTCCCCTTTTGCCTAGGTAGGTGCATCACAAATAGTGCGCAGGGCGATTAAAATGTGCGAGAGCAGGACAGAGAAACGGAGGTCATGTCCCGCACGGACGGATGGTGGAGCAGGGGCTGTGGGCGGTCCTACGGCGAATCGGAGTCCTCTCTGCGCCGAGGAGGAGGGACCTGCTCCGTGGGCAGGAAGAAGGCTGGCCCCTCCCTAGTTCTCCCTGTTTGAAAATGGGCCCTTGCCTCCATGGACGCTTGGCTTGTGACTTCTCAGCTTGTCCCTCGGAGCTCTGCCTTTCTGTCCCTGTGCTCTTTTCACGGTCTCTTCCTGCCCCGGCTTCTTTCTAGCAGGTCCCTTCCCATCAATTTTATTTATTCGTTCTTTTATTTCCACCAGGCCCGCTGTTGCCTTTTACTAGCTCACCGTCACTAAATTGCTAGGGACAGAGATTTGCGTCCTCAGGTTAAGGGCCTGGCGCGCAGTAGGTGATCAAGAATTCGTGTGTTGGTGACTAGGTCTAACACGAAGGTGAGACGCCTGCGGGTGAGAGTCTGGGCACCAGCCTGAGGGTCTGGGCGTCACCAGAAATCTAGCTCGTTCTGTTCCTGCTTCTCCTCATTGATGGATGCCCGGGAGTAAATGCTTCGTCAGGCCAGATAGCATGGCGTGTATTTTTTTGGTGGTGGTGCTGGTGCTGGTGGGGGTTCTTGTTATAAAAGCAGAGGGTTTTTTTTCTGTGTTTTTTTTTAAATGATGAAGTTTCTATACTACTAAAAAAGAAAAAAAAGCATCACCCATAAAACAGATCAGTTAATATGGGGTCAGTTCTGGTCTCCCGCGTTTATCATTTTCTTTTCCTGACAGGAGGTACTAGCAGGTTTGTTAAGGGATGCTCCGTGCAGTTCAATAACAGTTCTTTTATCTAGCTTCCTCATTGGGAAGAGGGCGTGCAGGAGGGTACTGGGACCACAGTGACGGATTAAGGTGCGCCTAGCTTTTCCAGGTGGTAGCTTTGCATATACATCGTGCTGCAGTAATGCTCCCTTCCTGCTGCTGCTGTGCCTTTGGTGGCGTCCACAGGCCGGGTGCTCTAGAAGCCTTTTTGCAGTGTCTCATTTATCTGGACAACGATTGAATGAGCTAGGCACGAGCGTACCCACTTAGAGTTGAGCAAACATGTTCTGTAATAGGTGAGTTAGCGTGCCCGTCTTCCCTCAGCTTGTACGTAATAGAACTAAGAGTCTGCCCAGGACCCCGGTGTCTTAACCCTTGTAACATTGCCTTCTTAGCACCGTCTGCCATGTGGACTGTTTCCATACGTGTTGTAACAATATAATCTTCCTCCAAAGGCCTCTGTAGACTTTCTTTTTCTCTGGAGTCAAAGTTACAAACACGAGCTTGAAGCTCACCTAGCCACAGCGCGCATTTCCCAACACACAACCCCGGCTCTGGGAAGAGGCTTGTTTCTGTTACATGCCACATCCCCCCGCCCCCTTCTGGGTCTCTAGTTTATAAACCAGGCAAGTAAGAGCTTAACAATAATAACGGACAATACAACAGAACAATTGTAGTAATACCTTACTGTATCGTGCTCACCCTTCCGACGATGTGAGACGAGGCATCGCCCATGTGATGGCGGACAGTGAGGTGGGCACCACCAGATAAAGGGATGAGTCAAGTCCCAGGTAGGAGGGAGTTACGCTTAAAACTTAGGAATTGTTTATTTCTGGAATTTTCCACTTAACATTTTCGGCCCGCATTTGACTGGGGGGTAACTGAAAGGAGAGAGAGAGAAACCTTGGGCAAGCAGGCACTGCTGGGTAATTACCTGAGCCAGTGTGGAGTGGTCTTCCTTTCCCTGCTGCTCACTCAGGTGTGTTAACATGCAATTCGAAGGTGAAAATGGCAGCAGGAGAGGAAGAAGGATCTGCTGGGTGTACTGATAGGTCGCCAGAACCCGGCCAGGTCCGACCGCAGGTGGGCCAGGAGTTCGGGCACGCAGTTGAGAAAACGCTGTCTGCTTACCGCTCGCTGCACCCCTGTGTCCTGCAGCCTGGGGCTCAGAGGCGGGGGCCTCCTTGAGGGACTTGCAGTCTGAGCATATTTAGAAGAATCTCAACCACAGTTTTCTGCCTTGGAGATGGTGCTGTGATCCTCGCCCACGTGGCCAACCTGCGTGTGGGCTTTATAGTGTCACGTCATCTTTTTCCTACGTGCTTTTCACGTTCCTCTTTCATGTGCAGATACATGAAGGCTTTCTTAGGGACTTGCAGGCTCAGGCAGTTTTAGTTTTCTTTTACTGAGGAGAGAAGACTGATGATCTTGGCATTGAATGAATCCAATAGGATTATAAAAGATCTCGTGTTAACTTCAAAGCACTGAAAGTCTTCAGCTGCTTCTACAACCAGTAAAATTTGTCTCTGCTTAGGTTTTTGCCCCCCAACCACTTTGAAGTCAATCTTTGAGGCTCAGTTCCAGCGTCTGACACTTTCCTGCATGACCTGATCTGGGTATGCACTCCGTGGCTCGTAAGGCAATTTAATTTCAGCTTTTTCATCAGCCTGAGTACTGGCAAAAAATCCACCGAGCACTTCTGGCACCTTTACAAGCCGGAAGATTGTGACTTTTTTCTCCGCTCAGACCTGTTACAGTAGGCTGGTAGATTTACTTCCTTTGTATGTAGTTTTTCTTCTTCTTTTAAAAGATTTTATTTACTTATTTTTAGAGAGAGGAGAATGGAGGGGGAAAGAGAGGGAGCGAAACATCAATGTGAGAGAGAGAGATCAATCGGTTGCCGCTCGTATGTGTCCTGACCTAGGACCGAACCTGCAACCCAGGCATGTGCCTTGGCCAGGAATTGAACCAGTGGCCTTTTGCTTTGTGGGATGGTGCCCAAACAACTTAGCCACGCTGGTCAGGACACAGGCCTTCTTTTTTTTTGTTTTTAAAGTGAGAGATCTTTAATGTGTGCACACCGACTATTGCATTTTATGTGATGGTCATGTGCTTAAGCCAAAATCAGAATTTTTTTTCTGTTTAGGTGCGATTTATCATGTATATTATCTGTGCTTGTTGCGTGTTAACTGCATAAGGCTGTAGTGATAAAGTCAGTGGTTTGACTCCTTTGAACCAGCCCGAGATAGAGTCTGTTCATTCCTTGGTCAGATCTCTTGATACGCTGACTCTCTGTGAGGCACGGTATTAGTTGGAGTTGACCCTGTGTGATGACATAGTCTCTACTCTCTCTAGGACTTAAAATTCCTGGGGGGATTCGGAGGCAGGGGGGGCACTGCCAGCCGGTGCCATCCCGACCTGCTTCCTAGTGGGGTCAGGATTGGGATGGACTCGGAAGGGTGGGCAGGATTAGCACTCAGGGTATCACGGCAGGGGCCACTTTGGGAGCGTGGACTGAGGTGCTGATGGGTCACTAAAAGGTCGTAAGCGTGTCGGACATACTCAGAGGCGTTTTAAGGAGATCAGGAGGGAGGGACTGTTTGGGATCCGTTCACTGGTGTTCGAGTCACTGGGGAAGGAACCAGGAAGTGTTCTTTCAAGTGTTCAACGATCGGCAGTGAGGGAGATTCTGAAACTCATGTTGTTTCTAGAGGCGAGGAGCACCGGAGAGAGGGGCGGATTGTGGCAGAACAGGTAGGGGTGGATGCTTGGTTGACTGCTGGGGAGGCGGTGTGCAGAGGGAAGTCAAGCCGTGACAGGTTTAAAGCCTGAGAGGGGGCCTCACACCAGCCTACCCTGCTGGCCGCCCTGCCTAGCTGTGGGCTTGGGCAGGTAGGAGTAGCAGCGCCCACCCTCAAGCAGGTTCTCCCTGAGCCCGGGCAGCGGGTCGGGGGTGAAAGAAGGAGGGAGCAGGTCACGCCTCCCTCTCGCTGGGTCTGGGAAAGAAAAAGGCACAGGCACGCATTTCCTTTTTCCTACACAGAAGTTTCCATTTCCAGTTTTTAACCAGTTGTTCTTTTGAAGTAGAACATTGGGATCAAATGTGTGGCTTTGTGGGGAGATAGACCAGCATTTTAAGGGTGTTTATGATTGTACGAGTAGCAGGTGACTTGTTTATGTGCTGCTTTGTCTTCCCCAAACATTTGCACGTGTTCACTTCAGCTGCCTCCTCTACGGGGTAGGATTAGGCTTGCCTGTGGGTTCTAGAATGTCTGTGTTAAAGCTGCATACTCAAGGGACTTTAGTTTTCTCTCATGCACACATCCTTGCCAGGTTCTGATGGGTTTCCTAAGGCTGCGGGAACGAAGTGCTACAACCCTGGGCAGCTTAAAACAACAAGAATTTGTTGTCCCACAGTTCTGGAGGCCAGAAGCCTGCAACCGAAGTGTCCACAGGGCCACGGTCTCCCTAAAGTCTTGCGGGGGGCGGATTCCTGCCTTTTCTAGCTTCGGGTAGTTGCTGCAGACCCTTGGCGTGCCTGGGCTTGTAAACAAGCACGTCGCTCCGATCTCTGTCACATGGCTGTCTGTTGCCTGTGCTCTGTGTCTGCTCCTCCCCTCTCTTCTTACAAGACCAGTCGCACTGGATTTAGGGCCCACCATGCTCCAGGAGGACCACCCCTTAATTGATTACTTCTGCAATGGCCCTGCTTCCCAATGAAGCCACATTTTGAGGTAACTGTGGTTAGGACTTCAACATAACTTTTGGGGGGAACAGAATTCTCTCCACGGTAAGTCCCTGGCTGGTGTGATCCTGGATGGTGTCAGGGACTCAGACTCACTCTTGTTCGGCCATGCCTGCAGCCGAGAGGTTGTGACAAGATGTTTATAAAAGACCTTTTTGAGATGTTTATAACATATCTTTTTAAGTGTTAGACACTTCGTAAGATGCTTTCTCTTTAGAACAAGAACTTGAGTGGTAGTAATGACAAGCACTGGTATGTTGACACTGTGTGAGGAGAGAAGCAGGGGGTACTTGAGGGCCCAGAGAAAGGCCACAGCAGGTCCCTGGCCCTCGTGCGGGGCCTCGGCCGCTGGCCCCGTGTCCCAGCCTGCGCTCCTGGGCCCACGTGATCCCCTGAGGGCCCAGGAACGGCCCGGCCCTGGTGTTCCCAGCGTGTCGCGTGCTGCTCAGCACAGTAAATAGTTACGGAATCATTTCCTGCCCGCTCCTGTGTTTGCTGTTAGTAACACAGAAGTAAAACAATAAAAATGCCGAGGTTCCAACTGTGTGCAAGTTGGGAGCCATATTTTCTCTTCAGGGGAACTAGTACACTTGTGGAGAAAGCTTCCAAGATAGCCTTGTGGCCATGAACTCTTTAACATACAGGGTCCGGCAAAAGTAATGCCTGCTTGAGGGTGGTTGGTAGGGTAATAATATGGGTGTAATAATTTATAGTTTTAATTTGAACATCTCACCTAAAATGTCCTATGGTGTGTTTGAGTGTGATATTACATGCTTCTGATTTTGTAATTAAAAAGGGGCATTTTTTATGCCAGAACTTGTATCTATATAACTCATATACTATACATTATATTACATATACTAATACTGAAATTGTTTTGAATGAAGTTAAAGACAACTAAGCACTACTAGAACCATACTATGGAAAAAACCAAACAAACTTATTGGGCAACCCAATATATGACTTAATTACTAATAGCCTACAGTTGACCGGAAATCTTACTGATAACATAGTCGATTTAACACATATTTTGTATGATATATGTATTATATGCTGTATTCTTACAGTTAAATAACAGAGAAAATAAAATGTTATTGAGAAAATAATAAGGGTGAGAAAATAAATACCTTCACAGTGTCTATTGAAAAATAACCCATGTATAAGTGGACCTGCACAGTACAAATGTGTGTTGTCCATGGTCGGCTGACCTATGTGTTATATAGTATGTTCTGATGTGAACTGACACTTTAAATGCAGTTGGTAAGATGATTTGTACCCTGTGTAAAGTTTTTTATTGCAAACTCCAGGAAAGCTGATTTTCGTTTGTGGTTTTTGTTCCTGCAGTTTAAACACTCTGTGTTTTTCCCATTTCTGTAGGACTTTCTGTTGCTTGATGAGATAAACCAGCACGACCCTCAGCTGCCATCAGATGGTAAAGCGATAGTACATGTGCAAGATTTTACTGCTTTTTGGGATAAGGTAACAAATCCTCCCTTATACGGTCATGACTGCTAAAAGACAATTGGCTTAGAGTTCACAGAGAATTAGGGGACTTTACACTAATGGGACTTGCTCATTTACTGAAAACACGTTATGAAACCTCTCAAAACCAGGAACAAGGTTTGCGTTTAATGGAGATTAAGTATAAAATCAGCCTAAGGCTTTTGACATGTTGTTTTCTATCTCATTTTGAGGACAACTTTCAGAGTATCACCACATTTTGAACCTGAAGTATCTAAGTTTGTAATGCTAGAGTTTGCAGGGGTAAAGCGTACCTTTTTCATCTTGATTGTCACCAGACCATCTTACTACGTTCTGAATGAAGCGGCCGTTTGGATCTCTGCTGTGAGGTGGGGTGGGGGCTCCCCTAGTCTAGGGGCTGCATGGTGCTGGCTGCTTTGGTGGCAGCCGAGAGCAGGGAGCAGGCAGCAGGTGGGCATCGTAGGCTCCAGTGAGTCCCCAGCTAAGGGTTTCAGTGTGTGGCAAGCTGGCAGGTGTGTGGCAAAGTCACAAGGGTCTTTCCAACACTTGGTTTATTTGTAACATTTACGCAAATGAGGAAAGAAAAAATCAACAACCAGGGACCACTCTCAGGAAGTTCTCAAACTTGCACACTCAGGGCAGCCCCTTTTCTCCACAGCTGGCTGGCTCTTCTCCCTGGTTCCACGGTCCCCAGGGCACAGCCTTCTGCACCCGTCTGCGTTGGCTTGGAGAACAGAGCCCACACCGCAGGGGAGGGAATTCCACGCAGGGAATTCGTCCTATAGGTGGCAGGTGAGGGGAGCCAGAGATTAGCAACAGCAAGAGCTAAACCAAGTCCCGCCAGTGGGGCTACAGGGACTCGGGGAGGAGAGCCCAGGGGTGAGGGCCGTGTGTAGGTGCTGGCTCTGCAGAGGTGACGTGACTGTCATGGGAGGGCAGCTGGAGGCAGGCGGATGTTCTGCTGGTGGGTCCCAGCTTCTCCCCATCCCGCCTCCTGGCCTCAGACGGTGCTGTCCAAGGCCTGGGCTGGAACTGACTCACAGGTTTGTAGGGCAGGTAGCTGCTGGCAGCTCTGATGGCAGCAGGGGAAGGTCCGACTGGGGCCTGAGCAAATAAGTGCCCGACCAGCACGCCTTCCCACCGCCACGCTGGCTCTCCCTTCACTGGTGGTCCAGGTGCCCAGACGCTGTAGACCAGTGGGCCGCGGCCTTTTTGGCACCAGGGACTGGTTTTGGGCAAGAGCTTTTCCATGGATGGGGAGGGGTGCGGGGTGGGGTATGGTTTCAGGACGATTCAAGCACATTACATGCAAGCTCACCTCCTGCTGTGTAACCTGGTTCTTAAAAGGCCACAAACCAGTACCAGCCCGAGGCCCTCAGGTTGGCGGACCCCGGCTGGAGACTTTTCATGCCCATGGCTTTCAAATATTATGTCACCAGTAAAGTGGTCATCTAGGTGTTTTTTTTTTTTTTTTTAAAGATTTTATTTATTTATTTAGAGAGAAGGGAAGGGAGGGAGGAAAAAAGGGAGGGAAACATTGGTATGAGGAATATCAATCTGTTGTGCCCCCCGCATCCCGCTGTGCTAGCAGTCCTGGCGTGCACCCTGACCAGGAATCAACCAGCGACTCTTTCGGGTTGTGGGACGACGCCCAACCAACTGAGCCACAACACACACCAGTCAGGGCCACCTAGTTTTAATTCAGTGTCTGCCATCTCCAGCAAAACAATACCCAGATAGAGGAAACTACGTCATTGCTCCTTTTGCACATGGAAGCTTGCACAAGTTGCCTTGTGTAACCTGCCCTGTCTAAATGTGTCAGATTTACCTCCTGCTTGGCATTGTTCATCATAATCCATTGTAGAATGTTTATAAAAAGCACCCTGAAAATTCATTATAAAGATGCACCCTATTGAATGCATTGAGGTAGGTGGAGCACTGGGGTAGCTAACGCCCACTTTGTATGACCCATGACCAAATTTCTTTTGTGCCCAATTATGCAACATTGTAAAATGAGCTGTTTTGTTCTTCTTCCAAGAATTGTAACATGTTCTCAGGCCTTTTTTGTAGCTCGCATTGTCTTAAGGGTCCCCCCGTTCTGCTGTGCCGGCATTGTCTGTGGAGGGATTATGCCGCCTGCTTGGGGATAACTAGGGGGTGCCAGGTCAGGTAGCAGAGCCCTGGGGAGGGGGAGGGGCACAGACATGGGGGCCTGGGGAGATGCTGAGGCGCAAGGGTTGCAGCCGAGAAGAAAGACAGGGGCCCTCTAACCAGCTCCACTAGACTGCCCAACAGGTAGGTGGGGAAGGTCTCACGGACTGGCCTCTCACCCACGACAGGAAGGGACTTGGTCTTTATCAGGTGAAAAGGGAGAGGGATTGGCGGAGATTTCCTGTTAGTGCCATGCGGCCCTGCGGTGTCCTTATGCTGCCACCTGGTGGGGAATGAATGAAGTAAGAGTAAAACCAAGGGTTATGACAATTTATGGAGGATGAAGAGTTCCCACACAGAGTGTTCTGTTAGGTGTGCTGTGAGTGCGTGTCAAGTTTTCCTTGCGAGAAGGTGCTCTGCCACTTCTACTACTTGTACTCTGTGTCTAGAGCCATGTCCCTGTGGAACTATATGTTAAAAGAGTTGGTCTTCCTAATGGCAGTGGGAGCTGGTGCCAACCCCCAAAGAGATGTGCTTGGATGAAAAGGACTCCAGGACCCAGAATCTTAAAATGGGAAGGAGAGAGATGTGGGTTATCGTACCAATGACCATGATATTATTTTCTCCACTTGTTGAAGGGATCGGTGTTGCTTTGTTGAGATGGACGCCTTTTTGTAACTTTTCCTTTGCAGGTATCAGAAACCCCAACCCTGCAAGACCTTTCCTTCACTGTCCGACCTGGCGAGCTGTTAGCTGTGGTTGGACCTGTAGGAGCGGGAAAGGTAAGCTGGAGTGTCTTTTGGCAGCTCGATGCGATGCCACATCCCATAGTGAAGTCTCAGGGTTGAGCCGTGACCTGTGTGGCTCAGCGGGTTGGAGCATCGTCCCACGCTCTGAAAGGTCGCTGGTTTGGTTCCTGGTCAGGGCATGTGTCTGGGTTGTAGGTTCAGTCCCCGGTCAGGGCACATAGGAGAAACAGTTGATTGATGTTTCTCTCTCACATTGGTGTTTCTCTTTCTTTCTCCCTCCCTTCCCCTCTCTCTAAAAATAAATAAATAAAATCTTAAAAAAAAAAAATCTCAGGGTTGAGCCCAAAGCTGCCTGTAACATAAGCATGAATTGGGTGTATCTGGAATGGCATTTCTCAAAGTGTGTTTCATGGTGTGTTCATTTCGCAAGAGGGTTGCATGGCCCAATAAATCTGGATGCAGCCTATTCTGTTTCTTCTTGGGGCTTCCAGGAAGTCTGGAGGTTGTAAAGGCTCTTCCAGAAAGCTTCAAACATTTCCTCATCCAACTTATCCAAGTCTTACTGGCACATGCTTAGTAAACGTGCAGCCATGCACATGGCATGGCGCTGGGAGCGGAAGATACAGATACTGTAGATCCCAGACACCTTAGACCTCCAGAAGCAAGCTGGTCATGGGGTGAGACAAACATGTAAGCAGATTATGTCAGCTCCGTGTGGTAAGCACTCTGCTCATGTAGGCACAGACGTGTCATGTCTGTGTGTCATAACCGGTTTGGAGGAAATGTGCGTGCGCATCTAGCCTTGTGTGTTCTGAAATGGCAAAACACAGACATCTACACACAGGCTGTGACAATGATAGGGATTCTTTCGTCTACGATGGAATTTTGCTCTTCAGATACAGGACTTACTTCACAGTTCCTTTCAATAGTCTTTTTCTGCTGCATTGGATATATCATGTACAAATAGCTTTTAGGGAACAAGTATCTGTCATGTAAAGGATATCTGGTTGTGTTAAACCTCAGACATATGAACTATCTATCGTTCCAGGTCACTCTGTTAGTTAAGAATGTCAAGCATCCTTAATTTGTCTTTGTTGAGTATAGCAATTCATTTTAGCTAAGCAAAACTTTTGGGTGACTTGCGTTTTTTTAATACTCTATTTTATTTTATTAATTTGTTTTCTTTTATTGATTCGAGGGATTGGGGAAGGGCGGGAGAAAACGAGGGAGAGAAACATCAGTGCGAGGGAGAAATATCGATCGGTTGCCTCTTGGCACGCACATTGACTGGAGACTGAACCGACAACCCAGGCATGCCCCCTGATTGGGAATTGAACCCTTGACCCTTTGCTTTGTGGGACAGCACCCAACCCACTGAGCCACACTGGCCAGGGCTATCCTCTATTTTATCAATAGCCCTTATTAACCATTAGTTTACCCTGACCAATAGTGTTATGTTAAATTTTTTTAAATTGCAACTTGCAGCGTTGTACTTTATCCCACTTAAATGACAGGGCTATACCATTTATCCAGCCCCGGGGCTGGGGGAGGCTGTTCTGCAGTGGCTTGTTCGGCCTGAGTGTTGCCGTAACCTGCGTGTGTTTGCCATCTGTCTTCCAGTCATCACTGTTGAGTGCTGTGCTGGGGGAGCTGTCCCCGAGCCAGGGGCTGGTCACTGTGCATGGAAGGATCGCCTATGTGTCTCAGCAGCCCTGGGTGTTTTCGGGAACTGTGAGGAGTAATATTTTATTTGGAAAGAAATATGAAAAGGAACGATATGAACAAGTGATAAAGGCGTGCGCTTTGAAAAAGGTGAGTCGTGACTTTAGAATTGCATGTGCTTGAATTTCAGAGAATAACGTTGGTTTAATTTACAAGGTTTGTTAAAAGTTTTTAACATCAAAGGTACCTAAATGCTATTTAATACGTCTTCAGGGTTAATCACATAGGATATGCTACTGTTTTAATCCTGATCTTATAATGACATTCACAGAATGCTTTTCTTCCTTTGGGTTTGTTTGATTTTGTGACGTTTTATTTGACTTTTAACCTTTTTAAAATGGGCAATTTTGCAAAGCTGGAGAGGACGGTGTGGGCACCCGTTCCCAGCTTCAGCCCTGTAATCTGGCGACCAGCCTAGTGTCGTCTCTGCGGCCCTCCGCTAGCCTCGCCCCCCACCCAGGTTACCTGCTGCAGGCCCTAGACTCCTGTTAGTTCACCTGTGAATGGTTCATTAGTTACCTCTAAGATATCAGAAAGCCTGGGGGAAAACACCATCATACTGTCACACCTAAAAAAATCACCAAAATTCCTAAATAGCATCAATGTTCTAGTCAGCATTTTCATTTCGTTATCTCGGCAAGAAATCTTGTGAGCTGTTAGTTTGAATCAGACTGAGCACAGGCTCTGCACTTTGCACTTGGTCAGTTCGTCTCCTGGGTCTCTTTTGTTCAATAGGTTTTTTCACTCCACTTTGTTTTTGACTTGAATTGTATTTAAAAGAAAACAAAGACAAAACCCAACGATTTAAAATTTCTTTTTAATACTGCATCATTGCACAAGGGGAGAGATTGTGTTCAGAAATGACATTGAGCTCCACAGAAAAGGGCAAGGGGAAATGTTTAATTGCACATTGAGATTTTAATAAAAATTAGTGATCGAATGATAAAAACTGAACTTTCCTGATAGGAGAATATAATTTAGCAACCAGAAAAAGAAAGACACTGATAAATACGATGTTACTCGCTTTGGGTTATAAAAATCGGTGAATAGTAGCGTTCAAGGGCTCTCTCTGGGGTGTGCTCGGCGCAGTCTGGACAGCCGACTGTTCTTTTATGCTGTTTGGAAAAGGCTGGGACAGACATTCAAAGGTATGGTATTGAAGGCTCCAAACTGGCTTTGTGAGGAAATAGGAATTTTGCTTGAACAATGGCTTGAATGGCTTGAATCATAGATTGCATCAGGTGAGTAGCATTTTATGACGATGTAGATGAAACATAATGGCTTGTTCTAATAGGCTTTTCTTTATTTTTTCCTCGGTTACTGTTAATGAGAGCTTCTGTGTTTTTAGAAATGACGTTAAGTTAGCATAGTGAGCTAGATTTTTATGAAACAGTAAATATATACTGTGTGAGAAAAGAGGGGAAACAAATGTAAAGCAGTAATAATAATAGCTCCCAAATTCACAGGCTAATCATTTCTCTCTTTCATGTGTGCACACAAAGGTATATGAATATTTAATATTTTGCCTCTGTCTTCAGTGTTTTCCTCCTCATTTTATCGTTGGTAAAATTGAGACTCAGAGAGAGGAAACGGTTCACCTAAATGTTTGCAGCTCAGGTTCAGATTCTTGTCTGCACGACCAGATTCTATGCTTTCCCATGGTGCCGTGCTGCCTCTTGACTGAGGAAGAATACGTAAGGGAGAACTACTTTAAAAATTGGGTGGGTGATGAAGGCAGAATGTGGGATGTGGAATAAAAAGATCTCAGGTATTTTCTCTTTACCTCAGTCAAATTCAATTCCTGATAGCCAGGTCAGACTCCAAAGACAGAGGCCAGTATCTGGCTCTTTCTTGCAGAACCTTGCTGTTCTGGTCCTAGGGCAGCTGCGTATTTGAGCATCTTTAGAGAAAAGCAGGTGTTGGAACCGTGGCTGACATTCAGCGTTTTCTCCAGGATCGATGCCTTTGCCACCGCCATGTGGGATGCCTGGACCCGTAACTGAGGCAGCATCTTAGGGCTTTGCCCACCCTCGGGAGTCTGTGTGGCGCACAGACGCTGGTGGAAGGGTGGTCCCTGCCGGGCTGGGCTGCACGGTGATTCTTCTGCGCATAAGTTGATGTGCAAACGTGGACTGTTCTCTTGTTCTGTACGATACAGGGACTTGGAGTCAGGGCTTGGGTCGGAAGGGAGGCCCAGGGTAGAGAAGAAGTGAAGAATGGAGTCCTGACCCCGGCTTTGTCACTTGACCATGGTCCCTTTGGACCTGTCCTGTTACCTGCTTAGGCCTCTGATGTTTCTGCTGCAAAATGAGGACATTGAGTCAGAGGTTTCTGAGAGGCTTGGCTGCTGTTCTGAAATGCCGGCTGTGACCCTGGTTAGCCGGGGGTCGCTTAGTGAGCCGTGAGGTCCTTCGCTTGCCTCGTTTTGGAACCCACGTGTCCCTGGGTGGCATAAGCCAGTCCTGGGTCGTTGGGGGTGTTCTGGGATGACCCTGGGCCGCAGACACAGAGACTGCGTGGGTAGTAGCAAACCCTGGGCCTTTGGAGAGGAGCGGTCGCCTGTAGTTACTCCAGGTTTTTATCTTAGTTTCCTGTGTTATTAAATGGGGGAGGTGCAGGAGTATTGTAAAGCCTGTAGATAATGCCTGTAAATGCAAACACACCAGTTTTTTAGTAAATGGTAGCTATCGTTACTATTGTAGCTCCTTTCTCTCTATATATCCATACCTCCATAGAGGTATAATGAAGGTTTCTCCTTAGGGTTACCCCCCGAATCCTGGAGGAAAAATACCATTTCTTATATAGTATTAATAACAACTAGATGTGTTATATTTGTTTAATTGAAGTAAGCTTTTAAGTTCATTGAGCTGAAAACATTTCTGTAATAAAATAGGGAGATAATGAGATAATCATGCCTATCAACATCGACTGAGGCAGACGACACGTTCGGTGACATCGTGGTGAGTTATAGAACGTAATTTAGGGAACAACCCAATCACATCAGGTGCTGTGGGGGTGGGGGATGGGTCACCCCAGGGCTCCGGAGCCAGCCAGATCGGGGGTTGAGTCTCAGTTTCCCTGTTTATTAGGTGTGTGATTTTGGCTAATTGTTCGACCCTTACAAAGCCTTGGTTTCTTCATCTGGAAGTGGAGATAATAGTACTGTCAACCTCATAAGGTGGTTTGGAGGATGAAATGCAGTAATGATTTCAAAGTGCTCAGTTGCTAGGGATATAACAAACACTCTACAAATGTTAAAATGTTAAAAATATTAGCTCTTAATTATAAGGGCAGCTAGTTTTGGATAAAGTCATATCCATAAAGTGTGACATGTTAAGAAAGAAGGTATCTAAGTTATATAACTTCTGTTATTTGAGTTGATATTTATATAGGTGCTCTACACATAGTAGATTACATTAATCAACAAGAAGTATATTACTGTACCACAAGCAATATATTAGGTGACATTTGTTTGCATATAGTCTTTTATCACTTGAAGACTTTTTAAAAACTTTTAGACAATATTTACAGTATTTTGCTGTGTATAATGCACACTGTTTTGCCCAAATTTTTGAGGGAAAAATAAGGATATGCATTATACATGGGTAGTAGTAATTTGTTACTGGGACTTAAAATTTCTTGTACCTTGTGTCTGTTCTTGTGTTTTGTAATTATTTGTTACATAAAATTTCTCATACCATAACATGTTCAAAAATAAATGCTGAAATTCCTTTATAACACAGAAAACAAGTATCTACATATAAATAAATAAATAATTGAATCAAAAAAATTAAAACCAAAGTTTTTTTCCTCCTGAAAGTTTGGGCCAGAAACGTGGGTGCACATTATACACGGGAGTGCATTGTACATGGCAAAATACAGTATTCAGAGGTATATGTAGCAATGGTAAATTCTCGTTTAATATTTTCCCTTGTAGCTCCCTTGTCTTTGCAACCTCCCCGGCGTGTCCCCAGGCTTATTGCTTCTCAGAGTCATCCCATTCCTGCCAGCTTGGACATTTTCTTTTCAGATTGCTTTAATAATTAGAATAATTATTGTTGGATCTTTATTTTTCATCTCTCAATTGGGATAATACATCACTCGTTTATGACGTAATAGGAAATGAAAAATCATGAGTACAAAAGGGACACCTGAGGTTAATCTAAATACGGAGACAAAGTTTATTGCTCCTTCTGTGTCTAGATAGAGAGGCCTTTGAGTCTTTAGTTATTTGAGTATGGCCTTCAAGTCAAATATATTTTTCATTAACCGCTGGGGACAGCGTGTTGTGGAAGAAAGAGCAATGGGCTGTGAGTTGAGATGAGCTGGGTGCAGATTTCAGCCGTTCCATTTTCACAGCCGAGAGTCCTCAGCCCAGTTGTGCAATCTCACCTGGTCTCAGTTTCCTCATCTGTGAAATGGGCCTAATACACATGTTCCTCAGTATCTGTGGGGTATTGGTTCCGGAACCACCCCCTGCTCCCCCGGGATATCAAAATCCCCGGCTCCTCAGGTCCCTTCTGTCAAATGGTGTAGAACCGTGTGCACAGGGGGCCTTCGTGGATTCCCAACCATGTTTGGAAAATTCTGTTTCCGTCCAGGGATCCATTTAATCTGCAGATATGAAACCGGCGGGTATGGAGGCCTGGCTGCACTTACTGTGCAGCGTGTTGTGAGGGTTAGAGATACTCAGTGTAAGGCATCCAGACCAGTGCTTGGCGCATAGATCTTACCACCCAGGAGCTGCCTGGTGGGGAGAGAAGCGTGTGTGTGCGTACAGATCATGAAGCAGAAGAGGATGGGTCCTTCATGAGAAGTACGAACAGAAGCCTTAGGAACCAGGAGAGAGAAAGAGAGAGAGAGAGAGGGAATTGGGGGGATAGAGAGAGAGAGAGAGAGAGAGAGAGAGAACGCGCTTTCTCACTGGGGAAATGCAGGGATGGTCCTGGAAGAGGGTTTTGGAGCTGGGCCTGGAGAGATGGGCAGGCTCTAACCAACAAGAAGGGCAGTTCCAAATGGGGGGAAAGCTATGGACAGAGGCTCCGTGGGCGCCTGCTCTTGGACCCCAGCATCCAGCGCCCCGTCCCCTGGGCTTCACCTGTAGCCCTTATGACTGTCTCAGCAGCCTGCGTGCGGATGTCTCCTGGGAGTCTCAGCCATCACTAAAAGGCACTGGGCGCCTTTCTGACCCTATGACATTTAACCAGCATAGCCACTGCCTGGTTTTCCTCTGGCTTGTGTGTCTGATTTTCAGTGAAAGCCGTTGTAGATGAAATAATTGGTTACACTTAATTTAGAGGGAACAGTAAGAATGCCTTCCAGTCATTGGAAGAAGTGTCATATATGCTCAGGTCAGGCTTTTCCCTCTAGTCCAGTGACCTTCAAACGGTTTCTTCTTCATGGCACCCATAAACTAATCACTAAAATCCTGTGGCACACCAAATTATTTTGTGCGGAGCTGACCAAAAAAATAGGTATAGATTTGATTCATTCATACCAGAGGGCTGTTGTTGTGTCGGCTGTTGTCATTTTTTATTTGACAGTCTGAGGGAAAAGAGGTCAGTGCCCCGGACTGAATGGTCAGGTGTTGCACGTTTTACAAATTCTCGTGGTTCTCTGGTGGGAGGTCGCTGCTCTAGCCAAATCAGACAGCCCTGGTGGGGAAATTAGTCTGACTCCGGTGTTCCTTCACAGTCTTTGCAGTGTTTTTTCTGATTGGAGGCTTCTCTATAAATCATTTGCAGAGTCGATGGACACACTCAGTCCTCCTGGACTCGGAGGGAGCCCATTTCTTATTTCCTCACTGTGGTAAATGAAAGAGTGGCTTGTACATGCCCTTTCTAGAAAAGGGCTAAGATTGCTGTGCTGCAGCATGGTTTTATTTTGAGAAGGGAAGCCAGACGATGTGAAATCAAGGCATAAAAACTAAGAGCACTTCCCCAGGGTTGTCCCCAGTAAAAGAGAAGCCGAGGTTGCTGCCTCTGTGTGCACGCGCATGTGTGTGTGTGTTTGCAGAAGGCTGGGAACCTATATTAAAATGGCTCACTGTTGCTTTTTTTCCCCCCCTGAAAACCAAGAGCGAGACATGGTCTCTAACTTCCTAGCTCAATAAAGAAATAATATGAAATAATAATGCATTTTCATGATGGAGCCATCGCTGTCTTTCATTTGATGCTGTCCGGGTGAACTTAGAACATGCAGGGACTCTTTGTGCCTTTGTGCCTTTGTGGGTGTCAGAGATGGGTCATCATGCTGATACTCTGTTCCTCTTCTTCTTCTGGTGCCGTGCTTTGCATGTTATGATTCTACCATGTCAGAATGTGAATGAGACCCCACTGTTGGCTTGGTCAGGAACTATGGGTCAGTCACCAGTAACAAAAATTAATTCATGTCCTTTTTCCATTTCTTAAGGCTGTTCATACACTTCCTTTTTTGATTCTTGCAGCGTCCTTGAGCCAGGAGTTCTTGTTTCTGCAGCACATTTTGTAGGAGAGGAAATGAGACTTAGGGAGATAAAAGGCTTGTTTATCATGGAGACGCCAATGTGCCGCTTGCTTTTCCCCCCAGATTCGCCCGAGAGAGAAGGAAATGTGGCTGCATTTGCAGACAGGTATTGCTCTGTGTTCTGGGTTGATGCTTGTTTATACCAGGATCTATCTAGCAATGATTGTAGGTCATCTAACTAAAAATGTCTAATGTATGATTTAAATGTGATTGTTATCCTGTCATTTTGGGGATGTTCTTGCCATCTTTTTTTTCTAGGTGCTCTGATCTGTCCATTTATTCCTTAAATGTTACTCAAATATAATTTTTGATAGTTTCCCAGGTTCTCAAATCAAAACTTCTCATTTTTCTTTGCTTTGAGTTTTTCCTGGCTTGTGTAGAACAAGCATCTGCTAAGTCCAATTGATCTGCTCAGTATCCCTGGAACGGATTTTGGTTTTTCCTGCTCAGACTGCTCTTTTTGCTTCTATTTCTTGTACAGATCTTGTCTGTTGCTCTGTCATTGTGCCTTCAGTACCACGTGAAGACAGGGGTCAAGTGTCATCCCTTCTCTGAAGCTGAGACTGAGATCAGCACAATGGCTAGTTAAGACTGACCCACCCTCCCTCCCTCCCTTTCTTCAAAAGATTTTATTTACATATTTTTAGAGAGAGGGGAAGGGAGGGAGAAAGAGAGGGAGAGAAACCTCTATCGGTTGCCTCTTGTCTCTCGTATCCGCCCCATGTGGGGGACCGAACCTGTAACCCGGGCATGCACCCTGACTGGGAATGGAACCAAAGTGAAAGCGCTTTCTGGGATGACACCCAACCAACTGAGCCACACTGGTCAGGACAAGAAACGCTTGTTTCTTGATAAAATAAGCCATGTGCCTTTACAAGCTAGGCGTGCCCCAGCAAGGCTCACAGTTGTACCTCTAGCACAGACCTTCTGATGGGCATGTCCGCCTGCAGCTTGGCATCGCAGCAGTTATTTCAGCTTGCCCATGACCGAAATCTTGACTTTATCCCCTAGACCAGCATTCATCATCTTCCTAAACTCTAGAGGCTCTTTCTACACTGTGCTGAATTCATGGCGCCCGCCACAATGCCTGACATAGAGTCGCTGTTCAGTAGATACCTGTTAAAATGGTTAAAGGCACAAACACAGTGAAAAACTACAGGATGAAACCAAACCAAATGCCCTGAGAGTTTATTTGAAAGCTTCACGGTTACAGTTTAGTCGCTATGAAATATATCCGTTTTTGTTGGTCATATTCGTGCATGAAGAACTAGCGTGAAAAGTTCAGAACAATGATGGGAGGACACATTTTAAGCACCCCCCCCATTTCTGTGTAGGATTTGCAGCTTTTGGAGGATGGAGATCTAACTGTGATAGGAGATCGGGGAACCACGCTGAGTGGAGGGCAGAAAGCCCGGGTTAACCTCGCCAGGTAAGCCACGTTCTGGCTGTCATTCTGCACATGCCTCTTCTGCTGCTTCCAGGGACGGTGGACACGCAGACCTTGCTCACTGTGCGTGGGCTTTGCGCGACACGCTAGTCTCGGATTGTTTTGTTGACTTTTGGCATGAACAGCATTTGAACTGTTGAACACTGTCAGAGATGAGCCTCAGGGGCAACGTTCTTCTCCCTGATAATACCTCTTTCCATATTCCAGGGCGGTGTATCAGGATGCAGACATCTACCTCCTAGATGACCCCCTCAGCGCGGTGGATGCAGAAGTTGGCAAGCACTTGTTCCAGCTGTGAGTCTGTTTGTGTTTTGCGTCTTTTCTGCTTCCCGAGAACCCTGCGCAGCAAACCCCTGGTGCCTCAGCAGACTGAGCTTGTTCTGCTTCGCTGTCCCTCTTTCCCCTTCCTTCCCTCCACAGAAAGTCCATTTTAGAGAAATTTTGCACAAATATGAGGTCAAGATGTACAAAGACATGAAGGCTCTTACAGTGTGTGGAGGCAAGTGGAGTACATGCTTCAGGGAGTTAAGAAATAAACGGCAAATTTTGCAAGTTGCTCCCCCCCCCGCCCCCGACACACACAAACTCACTTGCAGTTGATAGGCAAGGCACTGTTGATGGAGCTGGATCCCAGAACCAGACGGACGACGTACAGATTTTAAATCTGTAGCGGGGACTCAGGGACCTGGTTCTTGGTTGCCAGTCCTTTTCCTCCATGGTTGTTTTGGACGCAGTAGAAGTCATGTTTTCAGTAGCATCATTGGTCTTCCATGGAAAGACTGTGTTGGATTATGCTTATTATTCTGTAGGTTGGAAATTTAAGAATGATTTGTTCCATCGCAGGGGAAGGCTTCAATCATTTAATACCCACCAATGTAGAGTTAACTGGAATTTGACACCAGGGCCGTAGAATCTGGCTTAACTGCTGCCTCTCACTTTCTGTTCCTGGAATTTGTTGTCTTTGGCTTTTGCTTAGGCCCTGAGCCACTGAACTAGAACAATCGGAATCTCTTTTCTGTGTATATGATAACCTACTGTGTGCTGATGGACGTTTCTCCTCTAAGCAGTGGTGTCCAACTTGCGGCCCATGGGCCGCATGCTGCTCAGGATGTCTATGAAGGCGGCCCAACACAAAATCATGAATTTACTTAAAACATTATGAGATTTTTTTTTTTTTTGTGATTCAGTGTTGCAATGGATTGAATGTGTGGCCCAAGACAACCCTTCTTCTTGCAGTGCGGACCGGAGATGCCAAAAGTTTGGACACCTCTGCTAGGCCGGACCTTTCGAGAGCATCCTGAACTTGCTCTTGCTAGAATGGTATCACGTCTGCCCCCCAGTTACCTTGCTGCTGTTTACCCTGTTAAACCCCATGAACCCTTTCAGTGGCACGTATTGAAGTCCTACTGTGTGCCCTGAAATAGAGGCTGTCTTACAAGCGTGACTGCACAACACATCTTGGTTTACAAAAGGAGGACAGTAAGCCAGAGAGGGCACAGATCCATACTGGGCAAAAGGAGGGAAGTCAAGAAGTTGAGATCTCATTTCGGCCCCTAAGGGATTTGTCTCTCCATAGAGTTGGTCAAGACAAAAGCGTGGCTCACCTCGAGGCTTAAAGGGCTTTGGTAAAGGGTAACAAATGCTGAAGGGAAGTAGAAGCAGGCAGCTCTAGGGGTTCAGCTTAGATCAGAAAGCTCTCTGTGGGTGGGGTTTTGTGGGGAATGCCCAGTGGTCGCGCAGGCTGGGAGGGGTGTGGAGCCTACACCATAGACTGGGTGGCTTATAAATGACATAAATTGATTTCTCTCAGCTCCGGGGGCTGGGATGTCGAAGATCAAGGCAGGGTTGGTGTCTGAGGACCTGCCACCTGGCTCGTCTTCCCGTCGTGGGCTCATGTGGTGCAAAGGGAAAGGCACTTCTCTGTGGTTGCCTCCCTAAGCGCATGGATCCCATTCGCAGGGGTTCCCCCGGCAGGACCGGATCACCTCCCAAAGGCCCCACCTCCACATACCGCCCCGGGAGGGGCTAGGTTTCAGTGTATGAATTTCAGAGGGCACCAACATGCAGCCCGTAGTAGGCGGCCGTAACAAAGGATCCCGGACCAGGGGAATTAAACGACAGAAACGTACTTTCTCACCCTTCTGGAGGCTAGAAGTCCAAGGCCAAGGTGTCTGCAGGTTTGGTTTCCCCGGAGGCCTCTCTCCTTAGCTGTGGATGGCTGTCTTCCTGCTCTGTTCCCATGTGGTCGTTGCTCTGCTCACCTGCACCCCACCCCCCCTATTGTCCCTCTACTTATGTCCCGATCTGCTCTTCTTTTAAGGAAACTGGTCAGAGTGGATTGGGGCCGACCCTCACGACCTCATTTTAACTTAATCATTAAAGGTCCCATTACCAGACTCTAAGGTAGAGGGGCTTACGGCATCAGCGTGAGAGTTTGGGGGTGAGGTGGAGGGTCACACGGTTTATTCACAACAGGTCCTAAATAGTGAGGTACGGAGATTTGAACAGAGTCAGCAGTGTGATACAGCACCCTAGAAGCTGGGATTTTTTTTAAAAAAAATTTATTTATTTTAGAGTGGGGAAGGGAGAGAGAAGGAGAGGGTAGAGAAACATCGATGTGTGAGAGAAAAATTTGTTGCCCATCATAGGCCCCCAACCGGGGACCTGGCCCACAACACAGGCTTGTGCCCTGACCGGGAATCAAACCTATGACCTTTCGCTTTGCAGGATGACACCCAACCAACTGAGCCACGCCAGCCAGGGCTAGGAGCTGGGATATGAGGTCACCCACTAAGCATGGGTCACTGGGCAGGTCCCCTCACATTTTTCTACCAGAGTGTAGGTGTAAAGTGCGTTATTTCCTGGCGTGGTGGAAAGTTCTGGAGGTGGATGGTGGTGCTGGTGAAGATGGTACATTTTATTCTACGTAAGTTTTATCACAATAGAAAGAAAGTGTGTGTCGTACATTGAATTTTTCAGGGTGCAGACAGCAGGGCCAGCGGACACCTGGCATGGCCCTGTGTCTAGCCGTCTGGCCTGGCCTCTCTCCCACGCCATCCTGACTGTGACTCAGTGGATTTTCCCGTAGGCCGAGCTGTGCCTCGTGGCTTGTACTAGCTTAGCGACAGGGTGCTGGTGCCGGCACAGGGATTCCTCCCTTCCCCCCGCCCCCACACCCAGTGGGGTCCGCGGGCCTCCGCCCTGAACTCCCACATGTCTGTCGCCCGGGTTTGTGGGTCCGCACACATCTTCCGTCTCCTCAGGAACCGTTTCTGCTGGCCACTGAATTCATGTCACTGGGGGAAAAGAGGAGGGGTTTTAATTGCTAAGTACCGGTGTGCTTATCACAAAAGCTCTCCCAAGTTCTTGGAACACAGGTATTTATAAAGTCCTCTCGCACCTTTCGGGTTTAATGACGTTGGATATTCACTTGATAGAAGCAAGCTTGTTAAAATTGTTGTTTGCTAATCAGAACCACGTTCTTTAGGGAAACTTTGGGCAGGACACACGAATGCAATTTAGAAAATCACTCAGCAGCAACTGGAGAATGTTCTCAATGAGTCAGAAAATTGGATTGAACAATATGCGATGAAAGATGGCAGTCGTGTTGAAGCTTAGTAATGGGAAGTGTTTTGTATTAAAAGTGAATGAATCACACTTTTACTTGCCATTAACAGTTTACTTGAGTCATGACTATATACCCAAGGTTATTAAGGTTTGTGAGGTCCTCAAAGTGGATGTCATAGACAGTAAGCGGATCCTGTCACATACAGGAGGGTAGGGACCCTCAGATTAAGGAGGCCAGTCGAGTTCTTTCCGGCCACGGGTCCCTGTGGCATTGTAGAAAGCCCCCTGTTCCCAGACCCCCGCCTCCTGTACCATGCGCTCCTCGGGTCTGTCCAATCAGACCTCCCTCCCTGCTCCACGCCTTTCCTGACCCGTCGCCCGTCCTGTTCAGGGAGCAGCTCAAAGTCCTGAAACGGCAGACAAGGCTCTTGGCTTCCGCCCCGTTGTCTGCCTCTCCGGCATTTCCTCCCACCACCTCGGTGCAAGTTCCAACCACGCTGGCCCTCGTGGAGTCTTGTGAACGAGGCCAGCCCTCTCTCCTGTCTGTCTGTCCTTGCAGATGGTGCTCCTTCTGTCCAAGCGCCAGGGCAAAGAAGAAAAAGGAAGGACACCAGCACCGCCTTTCTCCCTGTCCCTCTGGTCCCTCTAGGGGGCGTTGGGCGCTTCCTGTCTTCCTACATCCCTTGAGGGATTGCACTTGACCCTTACGCCTGCCCACGCCCCACTGAGCTGTGGGTGCCTGACAGCGCCTTCGCACGGTGTGTTTCTGATCCAGAACCACTGCACCTGTTCTACCTTCTTCCATGATGTTTCCCCAGATACTCTCCTGGCCCACCTGTCACCTCCAGCTCCAGCCCTCACCTTGCTTTGTCTTCGGAACCCGCATCACGACTCTGTAGTGCCTTTTCTACTCTCATATACTGCCTTCCTCTGTGTGACTCAGAGTATCGTGCGTCTTCTTGACCAGTGGATGTATCCTTAGCACTTAGAACAGTGCCAGGCATCTCAACAAATGTTTGCTGATTAAATGAAGGCTGTGACTCTGTTTTATTTTACTTTTTGTTTTAGTTTAGTTTGTTTCTCTGTGTTTTATTTGATTTAGATTTTATGTATCTATTTTTAGAGAACGGGGAAGAGAGGAGTGAGAAACAGCAATGTAAGAGGGAAACATCGATCTGTTGCCTCTCATGCATCCCCAACCAGGGACCTGGCCTGCAACTCAGGCATGTGCCCTGACTGGGAATCGAACCAGCTACCTTTTGGCTTGTGGGACAACATCCAACCCACTGAGCCACATCAGTCAGGGAAGAATTTTTTACTCTTTTTTAAATAAAAAGCATAATTTAGGAAGAATTTAAAGTCACTTCCAATATCACTGTAACTATGTTACCTAATCAATGATGGAATGTTAGGAAGAGAACGTTTTAAAACTTCTGAGTTGACCCATCTCAGACATAGCAACTTATCAGGTTTGGTGAACATCTGCCCTCAGGGGTTAGTGGCAGGTAATTCTGAATTAAGGTGAAAGAATTCCATTAAAAGCTTCAGTAGTGAGCCTGACAAGAGCCAAACAGAGACATGTCAACAGGAAAAAAGTAATCCTTCTGGACTTAATCAATGAGTGATACTGTATGCACCTGTACCTGAGGTCTTGCTTCTGGTCGCAGACCCAGTCTCAGAAGTGTCCCCTTAGGACTTTTCAGTCCGGACTCCGTAGCAGAGGGCACTTACGGGATACAGGAAGATGGAGAATGGCGCTAGCGTTCACGGAGCGGATTGTTGTTTTTATTTCTCAGAGCGTGTCAGTGAGTTGGCATTAGCCGTGTTTTGAAATGAACAAACCGAGATTCCGAGAGGTTGAGTAGCTCGCCCGACGCTGTTGGGTTAGTAGGCGGCGGGGCTGGGCAGGATTTGAACTCCAGTCTGGGTGCCTCTGCAGCTCTTCATCTGACCCACCTCCGCGAGTGGAGTCGGGGCCCTGTTCCCGAGATTTGCAAGTGTGTGACTCGTGCAACCAGAGGGTGTGTGCGCAGGGCCCTGCCTGCGGCCACTGGGGCCCGGGACCAGCCACTCTCTTACCCGAAGGGGTTGCAGACCATCGGAGGTTGAAGCTGGGGCTGAGTTCCTAGGTGTTTGCATTGAAATGGTAGAGTACTTTGGGGGGGTTACTGTAAAAAAAAAAACCCCAACAAAACACAGAAAACATCAAGGTTGAACGCGGAGGTGGGTCTTCACTGGGAGAATTGGTGTGTCCTTTGAGCCACCGGGTGATTCCACTGTGATAGGGGCCATTTGGGTTCTGTTCTTTTGTTTTCCCATTCAGCAGGTTTTTAGTCCTCACAAAAGATGTGCTTCCCAGATGGGACTGGGAATAGTGTAGGGTCTGATTGAAGCTGCACTAACATTTATTTTCTATCTAATATTATTTAGGAGAAGTGTCTAAAAAGTGCACCCTGTCAAAGGTTCCTGAGAATCTAAGACTTTTTTTTTCTTTAGCTATATGTACACTGTAAATCATAAATAATCACTTAGGAAACTAAGAAAAATGCACACATTTTTATATCTTAGCTTCCTCTTTTTCTCCTATTCCTACACCGTCATAAAGTCATTAGTATGTCAGTTCAGTCAGGTTGTGGTATCTTGGAATCGCTCAGTTGTTTTCCTCCACAAAATATGTAAATTGTTAAGCTGAGTTCTGGTGCAGAAAAAACAACAGCAGTAGCTACCTCCTGCCAGGACAGCTTTGTAGAATTTCTTTGTGGAACTAGACTCAACTTTGCCGCTGGTGAATTTGAGGACCCAGTTGGTTTCACTGATTTATATTTATATGTAATTTGCATTAGTATTAGTATTTACACTACAGACCTTTGACTACTGTGTTGTCTTTGTCTCCTTATGTTTTCAAAATGTACATTATTCAGAGCATCCCATTAATGTGTTTTTGCATACTGTACCTCTTCCATTTATAGGTGTATTTGTCAAACCTTGCACGAGAAGATCACAATTTTGGTGACTCATCAGTTGCAGTACCTAAAAGCTGCAAGTCAGATTCTGATATTGAAAGATGTAAGTAATTTCTAGAAGTCTGTGGAGCCGCCTAGCTCTCAGGCGTGTTGACGGCAAGGCCTCCCAGCAGGTCACTCTCCTTGTGTCCTTCCGCCTCAGTTTTTATCTCTCTCTCTTTTTTTCCCCTCTGAGCTGCTGCCCGTGCCTTTGAGGGTGAATCCAAAGACACGTAGAAATGTCACCATTGCATCCTAAGCCATATACCCTAAAGTACAATATATAAAACTGCTATCTCGGTTATTAAATTGTAACTGTTGTAGTGAAATTGTTAAGAATATTAATGCTTTCTCATTTAGAAATGTTTGTTTTCCTCCTGCATGATTGAAGCCAAAGTATGCTATTTGGAAATTAGAGCTACGAAGACATGTTTGTATCCATTTCATTGTTATATGCAGTTTCCCCAAAGAATGTCTTCCGCTGGTAACGGGGCGTGGTGGCCTCACTGAGCACCCCCTGGTTAGAGACACCCATGCGCCCCGTGTAGTTGGTTGCTAGACTCACCGCACTGGTACGTGTGAGACCCTGCGCAGCTGTAAGACAAGCAAGTGCCTGCCATCAGGGCTTCCGTCCTTGGGATAGATGGGATGAAAGCGACGGAGGGTACGGGCTGAGATCTTGACGGCCTCCCCACGTGGGGGTGGGGCCTGAGTCCCCTGGGGGAGGGGCTGCAGGGGCAGGGTCCTGCGGAATGAACGGCCCTGGAAGGAATGGCGGGACAGCCAGCGTGGCCCAGGCAGAGGGAGCAGAGAGATGGGCTGAGGGCGGCGGGCAGCAGGCCCGGAAGTGTGTAGGAAGCCACTTGACAGTCCAGAGCTGAGGAGCGTGTGGTCTGATGCCTGACCTTAGAAGACCCCTTTGATGTTCACTGGAGAGGCACCAGCAGAAACCATTGGAAGTCTTAGTCAAGTTCAGAAGGCGGAGGGATAGGCTTAGGCTAGTTAACGAAGCACCCAAACTGGGTGGCTTAACACAGAAATTTGATGTCAGCATTCTGGCGGAGGCTACAGTTCAAAGTCAAGGTGCTGACAGAGCCATGCTGTCCTTGAAGGCTCTGGGAAATGTCCTTCCCTGCCTCTTTCCGCTTCCGGTGTTCTGGTGGCTTGCCGATGCAGCACTTCGGTCTCTGCCTCTGTTGTCATGTGGTGGTGTCCCACTAGCTGAGTCTCCTTTCTCTTCTCTTTATAAGGACATCAGTCATACTGGATTTAGGGCCCACCCTACTCGATTACATCTACAAAGACCCTATTTCCAAATGAGGTTACATTCACAGGGATCATGTCTGGGACTTGAACGTGTCTTGGGGCCAAGATTCAACCCACAACAGCTGGTGTGGTTGGTGGGGGACAGGTTAGGTTAGTGAGAATTGTTAAGGCTTAGTGGTCGACGCATCCCTGCCTGGCGTGTTGGCCTTGTGCCTCAGCACCCCTCCATCCTTACCCCTTGTCTGTCCCAACAGGCTCTTGGAATTTCTGCCTTAAGCATATAAAAGGGCAGTTCCATCTATTGACTCTTCATCACTCTTCCAGGGACAAGGAGCTCGGATTCCTCACACGTGAGAATAATGAAGTTCTTGTGCAGAGGCGTGAAACTAGTATGGCAATACTGTGAGCACAGAGTCAGGGCAGTAGAATAATAACCTTCTGAGCTACTTCTAGATGTTTTGGGGATCCCCTTATTGCTTCTTCTGAGGACATCACCCCCAACATTAATACTATCAAGACATCTGTGCCCTGGGGAGTCCCCTGGATGAGTTGGGTTCATCCTTACTCTTCACTTGGTCCCTCTCTCACACTAGAGAGGGGTCGGCTGCCCCCTTGTCCCCTCTTGGAATTGCCAGGGCTTGGCTGCTGAGGGAATTGCCATCTCTGTACCACTAGCTCTTTCTTCGTGCATCTCACAGATAACTAAGTAGAAAGCAGTAATTTCATTAAATGAGATATATGACTTTTTGTCTCCTGAGTGGAACAAGACACCGTATATCACAAGTAATTGTCTCATTCTGCAGTATCAAGTGGTTCCCAGAAGCTTCGTTGGCTTTCTGTCCGTGGGCCTCCTGGGGGGGACAGGAGGAGTGAGGTGCCGGGGGGGCTGGGCCGTTTTTCTCCCGACCTGCCTTACCCAGGGCTGCCCTTCTTTGATTTGTTTTGCAGCCTGGGATTTTGCCTAATAGTTTGTTTACCCCTGAATAAAATCATCCGAGTCTTGCTCCGCAGGGTGAGAAAATAGTGAAAATGTCTGCACATTATTTTATACAACTTTTTTAAACAAGATTTTATTTATTTATTTTTAGAGAGAAGGGAAGGGAGGGAGAAAGAGGGAGAGAAACATCCATGTGTGGTTGCCTCTTGTGCGCCCCCTACTGGGGACCTGGCCTGCAACCCAGGCATATGCCCTGACTGGGAATTGAACCGGTGATCCTTTGGTCCACAGGCTGGCAGTCAATGCACTAAGCCACAGCAGGCAGGGCAGTTTTTAATACAACTTTTTAAGGACAGGAAACTGTAATGAGGGATGTCACGTATCCAAAAACGGTTACTTGAGGGGCTGTAACTTATGCGGTTGCCTGGTTTGGGAAAGCCTGGGCGGCTGCTTGTGATTGTTCCTCAGTTTCGTTTTCTCAGGTCTGAGTACGCTGACCCCGGGTGAGGGCTGGTTTCCTTGCGCGGGCTGCTGAAGCGTTAGAGCCACCCCAGTCTAACGGCTGCCTCGTTTCATTACTGTACCACGTGGAAGGTTGAACTCATAGTTGGGAACTTCTCGAGTTTTGGGGGCAGTCTCAGAGGAAAGACCATGAAGATGCCACTTACAGGTTCCATGTCCAGGGCTGGTTCCCGCAGGTCTAGTCCCAGTGGGGCACACGATGCTCTGACAATGGCCGGCCAAGGCTGGATGAGTGACTCTTCCCTGTGCAGGAGTGTGTGTGCCCAACTGTGTCAATTTCCACTCCCCCACCCCGAGTATCTTCCCCAATTGACCCTGTTCTTTTAAGTTTAAATTCTGCTTATTACATGAGTCTTATCTCAATGTCCATTTTGTCTACAAAGACTTCTGATACGCCTACCGACAACTATACTTTTGGCTTCCTTAAAGGACCGTGGTCATTAACATCATGACCCCCATTTGCGACACATGATCACCTGTTTCTTCATGTTGCCCAGCATGTGACACGGGGTTTAGCAGAAAGCAGAATGTTCAGCCTGTGTCGAATTGAATTGAACTAGATTTGTCAGCCAGAATTCCAGGGCTAAGGATAATTTTCTTAGGAACATCATACTTTAAGACCAGCTAACTTTTCTTGATGAGTATTATCAAATGAGAATGTATTCCTCTCCCATTCTTTATTTTTATTTTAGGGTAAAATGGTGCAAAAGGGGACTTACACCGAGTTCCTGAAATCCAGGGTAGATTTCGGTGCCCTTTTAAAGAAGGAAAATGAGGAGGCCGAACAAGCCTCCATCCTGGGAAGCCCCGGAGTGCGGCATCGGACCTTCTCAGAGTCCTCGGTTTGGTCCCAACAGTCTTCTAGACACTCGCTGAAAGACGGTGGCCCCGAGAGCCAAGCTGTGAGTTGCCCATCTTGTGACACGCCCTGGTTCTGCCTACCCTTGGTGGCCTCGTGGGTCTCCATTCTGCTGCGTTCTTTGCATCTCCATTTGTCCCAAAGTAGATCTTAGGCTCCCAGGGCTTCGTCCATGGGCTTTGTAGAATTCAGACAGAATGAAGGGGGCCAGCCTGATTAGGGCCCTCCTTTGGGTGTGGGATGGAGGATCTTGGGGACACGGTAGTGAGTACACCACTGGAAATTCCTCGGTGTGTGTGGCTTACACTGATTGGTGCTATTAGAACCCTGTAATTTATCACAGGTAAATCCAGCTTCCTCTGGTGGCCCCAGGCTTCCCTTTTGCACCCAGAGGCTTAATTGGAAGACCCCCTCCGACTGCATCCTGCTGCATTAAATCAGTGGCTTTTCTTCTATGTCAGGATGTTCTGGCACCGTAGGTGACGGGGGAGATTATTTTTCCCCGTGGTGAGATGGTTTGTGGTCGGCCAGAAGTAGCATGTGCAAAGGTCCGGGCACACGATAGACACTTCAGAGTGAGTTCCATCTTCCTTTCTTACCCTTCAAGACCGGGAGCCACAACGTACCCGTCTTTGAGTCCCTTGTGGGCAGCACAACCTGGGACATCTTTGGCTCCTGTGAACCTATAGTGAGTGCAGAAACGCACAAGATTTCCCTTAAATATACCTCCTGGTATTCCTTCATATCCAAACCCTGCTACCCAAATCCAGGAGCCTGGATGGTTCACGTATTCAGATGAGCCTCTTACATGTGAAACACAGGAATCACTCCGTAAAATTCAGGAACCAAGCTGATTCGGATCACGTGCTTTCCCTCGGTATTCAGACTCTCATTACTCCATGTCGCTGTTGCAGCTCGGTTTCCTGTATTTGGCTGATAGTTCGAGCTCCTACTGTGTTTCATGTTTCCATTACTGAGCGACACAAACAGTCTAGAGAGCCACATTGGCTCCCTATCATTTTGTGTACTATTTTGGAACACGCTTCTACTTTTGTACGTGAATTGGTTGTGTTGGGCCTGTGCCGGAAATCATGATGTTCAACTTTAAGCCAAGCCACACAACAGTATCCTCGTGCAACTGATGTTTTCTTGCTTCTAAATATCCCTGGAGGCGGGATGGCTGGGTCCCAGGGTAAATGCGTAGGTGGTATGGCTGGATATTTCCACACCCTTCTCCCTAGGAGAGGTACCATTCTGCACCTCTGCCGGTGTGTGAGATGAGCGTGTTTTACCACGGCCATGCCAATAAAGTGCCTTGTTGAATTTTGGACAGTTTAGGGTTATTTAAAGTTTTGTCTCTTGCTGCCTTTTTTCCTTCCCAGGTTGAGAGTATACAGGTTACACTCCCTGAAGAGAGCCGTTCTGAAGGAAAAATTGGTCTCAAGGCCTATAGGAACTACTTCACAGCCGGAGCTAACTGGTTTATCATCATTGTCCTGGTTCTAGTAAACATCATGGCTCAGGTAAATCGGGACATTTGTTTTTTTTTGGGTTTTTTTTTTTTGTGCCTCTAGCTTGATAGTTACAGTAATATTTATATTTATACTGTATTTATTTATACTCTGTTACTGTATTTTGCTCTCCATTTGAGTTTGTACTGAAACGTGCTATTTGTGGGGATTGAAATAAGTGATGCTTAATTGGTGTTGCATGTACATTAACTTCTCAGGGGGGGAAAATGAAGGATGTCTTTTGAAGATTTAAATATGTAATATGCACTTACTTGACCTGTTGCTATCTGGGATGCTGGTTTGGCAGAACCCAGACCTGAGCTAGAAGGACCGTCTCCATTTTCTGGAGCTTTTGGATGACCCATTTTAGTGCGGGAGAGCTTTTCAGTTGGCGGGTAACATTCTTGTTTGACTCACGTGTGTGTTTTTCCCCTACTCTAGGTGTTCTGTGTTCTTCAGGACTGGTGGCTTTCCTACTGGTGAGTTATTTCTGGTCTGGCCGCTAGGGGCTGTAAAAGTCACACGGAGCTTCAGCTCTCCGCAAAGCTGCGCGCCCCGTGGAGTTTGCTCAGCCTTCTCTTCACATCCTCACTCAGTTTCCCTGAAGAAAAATGAAAGCTCTTGCTGGTGGAGTGTCTCTACTCATGTTGATGCTCAGCAGTGTCTTCCCAGACAATTTTGAGAACTCAAGGGCATGGTTCAAATGGAATTTTTTTCATTTTAAAGATTTTATGTATTTATTTTTATAGACAGGGGATGGGGGGGGGGGGAAGGAGAGACACATGGATGTGCCAGAGAAGCATTAATCAGTTGCCTCTTGCACACCCCCAACCATGGATCTGGCCTGCAACCCAGGCGTGGGCCCTGATCAGGAAGTGAACCGGCGACACTTCAGTTTGCTGTATGATGTTCAACCCACTGAGCTGCACCGGTCAGGGCTCAAACTGAATTTTTATAAGGTGGACGTACCCAGGACCCTGTGAACTGGGAGTCATCTTCCAGCATTAAACAAACATGACTCCCAAGTCAAGGATAAGTGGGGTTTTGGGGGTTTATTTTTTGGTATTTATCTAAATTTCATCTTGAGCTTACTATTTTTTTTTCCTTCCCTGTTTCATAGGGCAAATAAACAGAGAGTCCTGAACGTCACTGTAAATGGAAAAGGAAATGAAACTGAAAGGCTCGATCTTAACTGGTACTTGGGAATTTATTCAGGTAAAGTGTAATCATTGGGTCTATTATACGAGACTCTGAGGTGCTTACAATGAGCCTGTGTGAGTAACTAGGCTTCCAGGAGTAATTCAGTAATGTCTTAACAGATTAAGAGTCTGAGTCGCATTTACTCTGTGAATTAATTAGAATAATTATTTTTAAAATCGACTAGAAGAACGAGATTCAATGAAGACTCTTAATTTGCTCTGTACTGGATTTTGGAAGTTAAACCAGGATTGAGCATTCAGAAAATCAGCCACTGGAAATATGTGGCTATTGTCTATTCTAATAGGTTACTTTCGCTAAATCTTATATTGTTATATGGATGGGCAAGGGGATTAGAAACGGATCCCCACCCTCTGGTTCGGATTGTTCCAATTCTGTCTGAATAAACCCTAGCTTTTGTTGAACTTGGATGAAATCCTCTGGCTCCAAGGCCCCCCAAAGAAAAGCATTATTCCCTCACAGGTATGCAAAGCTCCCCTCCCCCTCCTGCTCATCTCTTGGGCTTCACTAATTACTTAAGAGGGAAGCTAAGCAGGGAGAAATCCAGTGTCTGGGAATTAGGCCGCCTCCTCTTTCTTACCTTGAGATCACAATGTTATCGCCTTCCCAACTGTGCGAGTAATTTGACATCTGGCTTGCCAGACTAATATTAACACAGCGCTCTGTTTTCACAAGGGCGCTTCGAATGTATGTAACAGGACATACTCTTTCAAAGGAAATCCTCATCTGAAATTTTAAATATCCCTACAAGAGACACTCATACAGGCTTTCCTGGAAGATAGAGTGAGTTGTGTTTGTCAAAACCCACTCATTGAAACTTGGCATTTATTTTGTTGATCCCTTGCTAAGAAATCTAAATCCATTAGCTGTTTACCTTCTGAATTGGAGGACAATGGGAGATCTAAAGGAAGAAGGAGAAGGGCTCTGTCGTACTCACATGGGACGGCGGGCTCAGGAAAATGCCTGTTGATGGAATTTAGGAATTGGACCAGGTTTCAAAGTTTAAGAAGGAGTGATGTGTCACCTCATGGGGGGGAAACGTACTTAATGGATTATTTATTATGGAAGTTATCCCCACTTTATGTGGCATTATGAGTTTCAGAGATGTTAGGAGAGCTACTTTAATTTTTATGTGCACTGTAGGTATTCATTTATATCATTAGTAAAATATATAATCTTAAATGATTATGTTCATTTAAAATGCTTGGTTTGTGTTAAAACAGTGAGAGATTCGTTTCCCATTTAGATTCATTATGTTAAAATTAATTTGTATTTTCTTGCAATTCAATTAAGAGATTTTCTACTTGCAACTTAATATGGTATTTTCATATTCTTTAAAGCGACTTGGGCAATTTTTACAAGGAAATGGTCAATTATTCCTCTTCTTCCCTGTTAATACCACATGCTGGTATCAAAACATACCACAATTTTAGGACGTGGCACATGTTGTAAGTAGTAAGATTTGGAATACAGAGGAGGAAAGATCACCTACTTTTTAGAATTGTCTTTTTTTCTGAACCTGTCATTGAATTAGGAAACACTACAAAGAAATTGTAGTTTACACCTGATTTTTTTTTTCCCCATGTAATTTCTTTTTTTGGGGGAAAAAGTTTTTTTATATTCTTCTTTAGAAGTGTATCTTCTAAATGCATTAAATTCTTAGTACACTCCGGATGCCTTGTGCAGTAAGATGCGTTACATCCTTCTCGACTGCCCGACACACTTTAGAGTTGTTGGAGAAAATGCGAGCTGCTGGGCTGAGGGCCGTTTCTTTGTTTCAGGTTTAACTGGAGCAACTGTCATTTTTGGCATCGTGAGATCTCTGTGGGTATTCTACGTCCTTGTTAACGCCTCACAAACTTTGCACAACAAAATGTTTGAGTCCATTTTGAAAGCTCCAGTATTGTTCTTCGATAGAAATCCAATAGGTAAGTCCAATACCGAGTATCTCGGTAAATAACGGTTTGTTCACACATTTAGTGTCTGATTGCCTTGAAAACGGAGGCGATGCTTAGAATCCAATTGCTAGGCATGTTGATCCATTTTCTATGAAAAACCTCGCCAACAGAAGCTTCCCTGGCAGAGGAAATCCACACAGAGAGCCATACAAGCTTTCACTCCCATTTGTGTGTGTGGAAAAATAAATGAATGTTCACTTTGCAGAATGATGTAGGAATCCATTGTGGCATACGAAGCACCGTGCGTTCCATGCAGACATGTTTAAATGTAGTTGACTAGCTGCTTGGACATGAGCTGTATTACACAGTTTTAAATGGGGCCACCCTTCAGGAAGGATCTTCTTACAAGGAATCTCTCCACATGAGACCAGCTGCGTTCCTCCTTCTCTCATTGCCCATCCATTTCCAGACCAGAGCTGTTGGCATATGCTCTATGAGGTTTACCTAGAATGGTCATGAAAAATCATTAAAATGCATGAGGAGTGAAATGCAAACATCCTCTTCAATAAAAGTTGTTAACTCTATAGTTTTGCAGTAGACTTTTGGTTGCTTATCAGCGGCTTGTCATACCTGCCAGGTGGGTTTTCAGTAGTAAGTTTGTTGATACGAGCGTACTTGGTGGTTTCCACGTGGTTGATGCCTCCGCCCGAAAGCCTTTGGCTTGTCTTATTTCTGAAAGTAGCCTCCTGACCTGGGCTCCTGGAAAGAATTAGGCCACTGGCTTACATCCCTATTCTGTTGGGTTGGCTAGACTTGTGACAAGGCCCAGGGTGGCTCTGTTTTTGCAGCTAATAATTGACAGAACCCTTGGAGGGAGGGAGGTGGGTTGAAGGGAGCACAGCAGTAGCCTCGGTCTGGCCATTAACTTACCATGTGACCCAGAGCCTCTAGGTACTGCTGGGGAGGCAAATCATCAAGTAGGATGTTGCCATGGTTCAAAGTATGGACTCCAGAGCCAGCTGCCTGGCTTTTGTCCTGGTGCTAGTTACTGCGTAATAGCTGGTTATAGTTCTATTAGTACATATGTGCTAGTTACCTAGTTTCTCTGTGTCTGGGTTTCCTCATCTGTGACACGAGAATGCAGTGCGCACCTACCCCTTTGAGATATTGTGGGAATTCAGCAGGCTGATGCATTCACGGCGCTTAACGCAGTGCTCACTTAGGACACGGACTGATGCATTTTCGTGGCGACGCATGTCAGAGCTTCTCACAAGTCAGATGCAAACAATTGCCGCTACCCTTCCTGCCTCACAAGACCTTTAGGAGGATAAAACCAACTCTTTTGGGAAGCCTCTTGTGTCGATTGAGTCAACAAATGTTGTTTCATCCAGACGCTACACGAAGCACAAGGAACTGTAAATGGCAGGGGCCCACACAAATCTACAGTCTTACTGTAGCTGTAGCGAGAAAGCGACCGGAACACTCATGTACCGTTATGGCTGTAAACTTGCTGCACTTTGCCAGCTAATGTGAAAACTACAGTCACAAAGTTTGGAGCGTTCGGTGGGACTGAATGTCCGTTATCGCAGCCTCTGACTGCTCATGACTGCAGTTAGCTGGGCTCTTCATGTTCAAGACTGTGGGCTTCCTCCTGTGCTGAGTTATTTATTATTCAACGATTTGGGACCGAGTCTAAATCTGCGCCAAGGTTTCTAATCTTAGAGCAGCACGGGAGCGCTTGTCTTGCCTCCCCCTCCTATATCCATTGTCAGGACTTGATTCCTTCCAGTAAATAGAAGCCCAAGTAAGTACTCCAGAGATAGGCCTACTGTGCTCAAAATGGTTGGGGGCTATGAATTCTTTACGCTTTTAGTCGTAGATTAAAAGGTGCTTTTGATTCAAGAACTGTTTTTGTATGGTTGATTTTAAATTTCCACTTGGATAACATTTTTGTACTTCCTCCAATGGAAAGAACAAGCCAGAGCTATGAATTATGCCTCATAGTTGACATCGTTGATTCTATGACTTTAAAGGTTATGTAGTATTTTTAGAAAATCTCTTCTAGAGTGCAGAGGTGGACATGCTCGGTTTTTAAGTTCCGTAAATGTATATGAGTGAGTGACAGCACAGGTCCTCTGAGCAGCATGGAGGTCAGGAAGCCCATCTTTCTCTTAACACTTTGTGACCCAGAGCATGCTCTCTGGGAGACTCAGGAGTCAGCACGTTTCCTTTGAGGTCAGGATCCTGATGATCTCCCAGTTTTTAGAAAACCAAGGGGACAGATAGGCCTTTTGTCAATGTGTACAGATGCTTATCGATTTAAGAGATTACGTCCGATAAACCCATATAAGTTGAAACTGTTGAAAGTCAAGAATGCATTTACTATAACTCACCTAGCAAACATCAGAGCTTAGCCTGCGCGACCTTAAACGTGCTCAGCACACTTCCGTCAGCCTACGGTTGGGCAGCAGCAGCATCTCACGACTCAATAATGCAAGAGTATTGTGCTGTCCGTCGTCAGCCTGGGAAAAGATCAAAATTCAGTATTCTACCGAATACGTACAGCTTTGGCCCCATTCTAAAGGACGAAAAATAGTAAGTCGAAAAACCGGAAGTCCAACCATTGTGGCCCCTGTAGTTTCCAGCAAGCTGGACTTGGGCAGTGGGCGGCACAGACGCCAGAAACACCAGGCAGAGGCTCTGGGCCCACCCGAACCGTGGCCCAGCTTGGGTCTGTGGGGGACTTGCTGGAGTTCCTGTCCGCACCCACCTCCAGTTCCCGCTCCTCCGGAATCTCCTCCTTGACCCTGACCTGGGCCACAGCAATGTCTTCCACACTCGTTCGCAGGTGCTCCCACCCCAGGTGAATTGTCTCCCTCCCCATATTTCCTCCCAGATCTTCGCCCACTTTGTTATTCGGTGGGGGAGGCTTTGCACTGAGGCCGAGAATCAGGCCTTCAGGGCAGGGTCCAGAAACCACGGCTGCTCTGCTGGCGTCCCACGTTCACCGGGATTTCAGGAGCAGCGCAAAGGCCACCTGAGAGGTGTGTGTTTCCTCTCGATGGCGAAGTTTCTCTGCAGTGTAGCCATTCCAGAGAGCTGATTGGTGAGAAGGTCTCGCTGCTCCAAGCTGCGTGACTATGTTAGTCTCCGTTTTGAACCCGTGCAATGCTTGCATGAAGTTTACTTGGTTTAGTTGTCTCTATAATGCAAAAGCTTATGGTCTACTGATCTGTCATAGCCTAATAAACTAACTATTTGGGTAAAATGAATCAACTAGTGTGTGGCCTTAGAGAGTGGCAAAAGCTGGTTTTCTTTTTCCTTTTTCTGTTTTTTTTTTTAACCTTCCTTCCTCTCACCCATTTTTTTTTTTTTAAATTTTTACATGCTGAGATGTGTTTTGATAATGGTGTCATGTGTGTATTAAAGAGCCACACGGTTTTCGGCCGCCCCACGCCGCCTCCTCATCCTGATGGCAGCTTGAGTCGGACATCATCTCTGGCCCCGTGCCCTCTGCTGTGTCTGCCTGTTCCTAGTCAGCCACTGTCACCCGTCCTTGTGGCCCCACTTCCGTTCTATCAGATCTTAATACACAGGTGACACAAATCCCAGATCAGCAGCAAGCCGTTCAGAAACTGAGAGAGGATATCCATTTTAAATGTAAGTCCTGATCTCCTAGCAGGGCCAAGATTCATTTTATTTTTTCCATCTGGCACAAGAGGGCAGCATGATCTACATTATTTCAGGGATATTGCAAAACCTGGTTGGTTTTTTTTTTTTTTTTGTTTTTTTTTTTTAGAGCTTTCTTGGAAATACCATTTTTATAGCTTGGGTCTTTGTAGTTTGTAGTGTTAATATGAGATTTTATTTTACTAAAAAATACTTTATTTATATTTAGAGAGAGGGGGAGGGAGAGAAACACTGATTCATTGCCTCTCCTATGTGCCCGGTCCGGGGACCGAACCCACACCCAGGCATGTGCTCTGCCCGGGAATAGAACCGGCGACCCTTCCTCTTGGCAGGATGAAGCCCAACCAACTGAGCCACATTGGTCGGGGCGATATGAGATTTTAAAAGCACTGTCGTGGTTTATCATCTTTGAAACATTAAACTCTTCGTGTTTATTAAAAAAAAAAAAAATGACTCACATTGTTGTCCTGGAATAGCTAGTATTTCAAATTAGGTTATTGGGATTTCTTAACTGATACCTTCTCATCCAGTAACTGGACTAGGCAGCTGCTGACATTTTTGCTGGATATGTTTTAATTCCTAAAGGGTAGAATATGGTCATTTGTACGACCTGAGTCAAACCTGAGTTCAGGGAGAAATAGGACCACAGTTTCTTCAGTTTTCTTCCACGCCATCAGAGTCAGCAGGGACGTTGCATTCTTATCAGACGTCTCTAGAATTTCACCCTTTGTTTTGGAGACGAGATGAGTGGATAGTCGTCTTGTTTTCTTCATGCCTCATTATGGTGACATAACACTTGGCCGAGTGTGTTGATTGTAATGAATTCCAGATAAATATTTGTTTATTTGCTTTCAATTTGTTAATTTGGCTTTAAGAAACTGAGCCACTAGTGTCGGTGGGTGATGTGTTTGTTTATTCTCTCAGGGAAAGGCAAAATTAATCCTGGGCTGCACCCCATGTATTCGTTTCATAGGACTGGATTTTCTGCAGAGCAGGGTGTATGTATATGTGTGTGTGTTTGCTTATTTATTCATCCAGTGTAAAAAAAGTATACATTTAATTTCTTCTTTACAGATCAAATTAAATTAGGGCTAAAACACTGTAAAAATAGAAAAAGAAACATGCTAACATGTTTTGCCATTTTTAGTCTTCTGGTGGAAGGTACTTGCACCTATTGAAGTGTATGGGAAAGTAATGTTTGCACTGGAGGGTTTTTAAAAAATATTTTATTCTTATTTTTAGAGAGAGGAAGGGAGGGAGAATGAGAGGGAGAGAAACATCAATGTGTGAGAGATACATCAATCAGTTGCCTCTCTCACGCCCCCTCCTGGGGACCGCAT